CACCCAGGGATCATTCCCATTGAGAAGATCTCAGTCTAATAGTAATCCCGACGAATTTAGCTGCTGCTAATAAATCCCACCCTCTGCCCCTCCCAACCTGCCTCCATGCAAATCCATTTGTAGGTTACTTGAACAATAGCGGAGCTGTAATCAGCCCTCCTCTCTGGCAGCCTGCAGGGAGGGAGGGGAGGAGGATGATGACAGTGGGGAATTCTGCTCGGCTCCTTGAAGCTGCACAGACATGTTTCATGTCCCCGTTCCCATCCCCTGCGCAGAGGCGGGCAGGCAGGAGGGCAGGCAGGCAATCACATGGCTGTCTAGGTCGGCCCAACCCAGCGGCAACTGCATGCCCTGGCGACCCTCCCCAGCCCAGCCCGGTTTGATTCAGTTCGGTTCAGTCCCTGCCTAAGCTGCCATGCTGCAGCAGTGCCAAGCCTCTCCGCGCTGCGGTGGAGTTGCCAGGCTCAGTCTCCACTCCCTAAACAAAGTAAAGGGCCTTTGCGCTGGCCAAAAAAGAAATAGAAAAATACCCCAGTGAAGCAGACTTGAGAGAACGGGTGGCCTGGCACACCCAGTACTGCCGGAGACCAGTGCCAGCCAGAGAGAAAGGCACAGCTCTCCATTATAGGGTCTTCGGGGACGACAGAAAACCAGAGTCTTCTCACTGTTAACGATGATCATGTAGGAAAGGGGAAAGGGAAAATTCCTGAAAATAAATTGCAATTTGCAGCAGTTCACATCTTAAAGGTTTCTTTGCAAAGGGTCATAAAAGCAGCAGCGGGTGCATATGGCCGAGCAGGGCTACGGGGGAGGGGGGTGGGGCGGGGAGGGTTGTGAGCGGATGCCAAATCAGCTGAAACCTAAGAAGCTTGACCTTCCTCACCTCCACCCCTGCTCCCACCGCCTCCAAAAAACCTTGCAAGGGCGCTTCGGGAAGGCAAAGCACACAGCAGCGAGGAGAATGCAGTCTCAACCCGGCAACAGACAGGATTGCACGGCTGTGTCAGTGAAGGGGGAGAGAGGACACTTCAGGGTAGCTCTGTCCCCTCTCAGCAATGCAGACTTATACCAGCATGGTTCATTGCATCCAGCCAAACAGTCAGACCTTGGAATCTTGAACCTATCTGGCCCCAAGTAGCTCAGCCAGTCCAACCAGTCACAGACTGTTCTGGCCAGACAGACTTTTGGTGAGCATCCTCCCCCTCCCATTCACGTGTCTAACTGCTCCCTTCTGCTGTTCACCCTACAGTTCCCTGAATGGCTGAAAGAGAGTGGGTTTGCTGTCAAAAACTTGAAATGACATGTTTCTCCCATGTTTCTTCTCATGAAGTTAGGCAAGTCAATTCCCAGGGAGAAGAACTGGATTCCTGCAGAGCCTCCCAGTCAGGAGTGGCAGCGTGGGGCTGGGCTGCCCTGTGGAAAACACGTGGAGACAGAGATGTTTGTCTGGCTCATCACAGGAGCCCTGTGGTAGCCTCAGTCAGTGCACACATGACTAATTCTTCTTTTAAGACATATATCTGGGAAAAGACCTTGTATGCCATTCTTTTCACATCACCCTATCAGCAGAGGCATTCCCCTTACCAAACTGTAGTATAGGTTTTAAGGCAGGAGCTGAAACAAAAAAAGCTTGGTTACATGATTTTCAGACACCTTGAAGATAAACCCAGAAGTGTATGTTTCTGTACAGGAAGGTATAACAATGCCCTCTGAGTCTCCTGGAGGATGGTTGTAAGGACAATTCTGAAGGTACAGAGCTATGTTTTGGGTAGAAAATGTGTGCTGTGATGGATTCTGATGGCTGAACGCCAAGGGGGAAGCTGTTCTGCTTCAAGAATAGCCTTACAAGAGTCAGCGCTACAGTGACAGTTCAGTACTCTGCTGCAGATCTACAGGATGTGTCACTCTGGCAGAGAAAGAAGTTGCTAATGCACAACACAATCCATCTTACAATGAATGGAGAATGCATACCAAAAATTTAAAAAAAAAAAAAAAAAGAAAAAAGAAAATGGCAAGACTTAGGAAAAAGGGAAGCTGCAAGGCAACTACTGCATAGTAAGCTGGGAACCTGAGAGCTCTGAAGACAAAGCCCTTTCCCTTGAGGGGAAGAAAATCTCAGCTCACAAGACACATAAAGAAACAGACAACCCTTTTTCCAGTGACTGCTGCAGCCCTGCAAAGCTGTGTTGGCAGCCAGCCTATTTGAAGAGATTGCAGTTTCAAAACAATGTTAGTCCTGACTAGTTCAGGGAGGTGAGCATGCTCATATGCACAACATTGCTAAGCAAATAAAAAAGATAAGGTTTGTATTAAATTACAGCAGTTACCATTGGTAAACCCAAGTTCCTGTTGGAACTGTGTAGTATTTCTCCCAAATGGACATAGCAGCTCTTCGCTGCACAAACACATCTATCTCCAACTCACACACAGCTGCCAATGCTTAAAAAACAAACATCCAGTGACACACATGTTCTAACCCATTTCTAAGAAAATAGGCTACAAGGCTATTAAAAGAAATGTCAAGAATAATCTAACTGGAGAAAAAAAAAAAACAAAAAAAACCAAAAAAAACCAAAACCAACCAAAAAGCAAAACACAACAACGCTCCCTGGGAAAATAAACCATTTAAATACTTCCCCATTACAAGAAGGAATGAAAGCACAATAAATGACCATCTGGACAAATAAATTAACTTACACCATTTATTCAAGCAAACATTGGGCTGTACCTTAAATAACTGGCAAGTATGGGGGATGGGAGCATTACTGTAAAATACAGAAATAAGCTGAATCTCTGTACATGAGACTCACTCGACAGCTCCCCTTTCCTCCTTGAAAAAAGGTTACAATTTGTCAGCTGTGGACATCTCCAGAAAGATAAAAACCTACGGAGTGGGTTCAAAGAAATGCTGGCTAATATGCCCAGACTGGCTGCTTAATGAGCCAGAGTAAAAGAAAAGGTCACATGGTTACAAAAAACCTCCATACAACAAACGCCCCGTAGCTATGGTTAACTTTAATTAACTGCAGTATTACAATTCACTTCAAGCTTATTTTCCACCAATGTTTACTGCACCTTACCTTTCCTTCGCCTGCTAAAAGTCACACTGATCAGTCTCCTAAGAGGGCTTATGTTTCAAAAAATAAGAGCTTTTCAAAAATTATCTGAAATTTTTAAAATCCACCAAATGTGTCTCTTTCTAGCTGTAATTACTGATGGATGATTTCAAGATTACAGGAGTGGTTCTGTTTATATAAATCAGGGTATTCACACTTCTGTGATACAATTAAATGTTGAATAGCCAGTCTTTTAATAGCAGCTGCAATTCACATATGAATATTACTTCTCCTTAAGTTTAAACTTGAATTTCAACCATGTGTACAATTTTTTTCTCCGCCAGTCATGAGCTTACAATGTTAGTCTCCCTATCTCATGATTTAAAAATAAACTGCTGTGTGAGAATTGCATGCTTAGAAATAACTGAAAATAGGATCAGTACAAATCTATACTCTAAAAAACATGTAAGTTGTATCCAACAATTAACTCAAAACATTATTTTTCTGCATTACTTCTTTGATCCATTACATACGAACAATATGTTTGGAGGTTTTTAAGCACTGATATATCACTTGGCAGGAAAAAAAAAATATATACACACACAAAGTCATTGTCTGAAATCACAGATATAGTGATGCCAAATACTAAATCTCAGAACATAACAAACCCCACCCCCTCCCCACACACATGAAACAGCCAGAGTGTATCTATACAAGACTGCAAAGCTCTGTAGGCACACTAAGGATATAGTCTCAAGGTTTCTACCATAGTTCCCACCAGGAATACAAATCAAGTATGTATTAAGACCAAGCAGATACCAAATGCCATCCAGACTTTCCTTTATACATCTCTGGGGCTTTGGTAGGTGGGGATGCTTGCTATTCAATAAAACGAAGAGCTCATAACCTATGATACTGTTGCATTTGGAACAGCTCTACATACTGCTGGTCAAACTGCAAAAGATTACTGCAGTGCTGCTGGGTTTTTTTCAGGTTTTCCCCTCTTTCCTCCATTTGCCTCACTGGAAAGGACAAAGTTCACACTAGGTTTGTTTGCATTTTCTAGCTAGCATGAGGCCTGTGTATTTACTTTGCCTGTTGATCACTTAACAGGTATTACACTGCTCCCCTATCTCCTGAAAATGCCAATGTCACACAGAATTGTTAATTATACAAAGAATCACATATAATCATTGCCAAAAAGAAAGCATTCACTTCATCACTTAAAGGAAGCTTCCTTGCCTGAAAACACAATAAAGCCCTTGAACAGCTCATCAATTCAAGTTATGAAAAGCCAATGCCTAAATGGGGTAGCAACCCACCAGCTGCAACACCAACTGTAGAAGCTGTTATTTCATGCTACCCTTTTCTTACTCTGTTCAGTTACAATCCTGCCTTACCATGAGCTTGTGGCTAATGTCAAACTTTGACAACCACTCCTAAAATCAACTAAAATTATTAACTATGGGATGCTGGGCGGGTTTTTTTTTTAATTTTTTTTTTTTTTTTTTTTTTTTTTTTTTTTTTTTTTTTTTTTTTTTTGTGTGTGTGAAGAGAAGGCTTCATTTTAAATCTCAAGCCTTACTAAATTGCACAGGCAATGTATGCATCCTGTATTGCAAACAGCTTGCAGCTGGAGAGCTGGTGGGGGGGAGGAGAAGGGAGGAGGAAATGAGATGCAGGAACAGTAAATAGAAAATGCTTAGTCAGCAACCGTTACTGCAACATTAAAGGTGAAATGTAAATAGGCACAGTGCCAAGATTTAAGTAAGTTTGATAACACCATCAACATCATCATCTTACTACATATTAGTGGAAATGTGCATACAAGTGCCACAATTATCACATCGAACTGCATTGGTATAATGGAGACCTTTAAAAAGCCAACATGGCTTGTGCACACTGCCTAAGCTTAGAGAAAAATAAAACTTGCTACTCAAGAAGTATTAATATCAATTGAATTTATTACAATTTACTAAGCTCCAAGGCACATTACAGTGTTCTGTTAACTACAGAAATGTATAAAGGACAAACAGAGCATGTTTCTCATGTACAGCATTTTGCTCTACTGTTCAAAAGCATCCGTGCATCAATAAAAGCAAAAACAAAAAACACATGAAGATTAAAAAACGTTCAGATCAATAGAAACAAACTGAAACATTTTCCTTACAAACTTGCAACAAAAAACACCCTCCCCCCACAGCCACCCCACCGTTTTGCAACAAAAAAACAAAAACAAAACAAAAAAAAAACAAAAACGAAAAAAAAAAAGGTGAAAGACTAACACTCAGGGCTTGTAAAACGTAAGCTGTCACCATTTTTGTAGCAATTTTTTAGGCATCAACACTGGCCTTGGCAAAAAAAATTTTTTTTTGTCTTTTGTGTTTTTCTTCTTCTTTCAGAGAAGTGCATACATTTACAAAAATACACACCAGCAGCAGGTAATCGCTAAGGGCTATTAACTTTGTACCTAGCCAACACACTGCCAAAGAAATGAGAACAGGTATTATGTAGTAACCAAACAATATTATATTCTGTTTAACAAAAACCAGCTCTATCCTTCAAATGAAGAAGAGTACATACCTTTGTTTCAAAATATAGAAACATACGACGAAAATAATGTCTATACATAAGACTAACTTTTGCAGTTTGTTATATTCACAATTCTACATCTTCAGGAGTCTGAAGGGATTGGATTTCTTACTCAAGGGTCTCTCTCCTTTTTCACTTTAACGTCCCCAGCTAAAATGGTCGCAATCTCGCCCTGCATAAATGCCCAAGGCACATTGGAACCGACTAGGGGGCATTTCTCTCCACTGGGGCAGTAGACTTCACCAGTCGCCCCTTGGGCCTTGATGCTCTCTCTGGAACAAGGGAAGCAGAACTTGTGGCTGGGCACAGAGGGGCACTGAACAAAGTGGGTGTCCTCCAAGCGTTCGTGGCAAATGGTGCAGCACAGGGGCCCGCTGTTGGCCATGGGGGAGTCCGGAATGTTTTGGGGGTGCACTTGGTCCATGGCAGGGTGGGTGCTAGGGGGAGGAGGGGCCACTTGCAGGTTCATGTCCCCGTTGCGGGAGGCCAGACGGCGCTGGCCCGGCACCGAGGCCGGCGACACGGGGCTGCTGCTGTTCCTGCGGGTGGACGTGGTGGAGTGCACCGAGCTGCCGTCCTTGGGCGAGTGGGCATTGCCCAGCGTGTCGGCCACCGACATGAGCGCGGCCATGGGGGACTGTCCGTTCTGGGGGGCGGACTCGGGTGGCGTGGTCCGGTTGGAGTGAGGCCCGAGGGGCGGCGGCGGCGGGGGGCCCCCGCCGTGCACCGCCCCGAAGCCCCCGGCCGACATGGTGAGCTTGAGCGCTTCGCTCTGGCTGGCCATCCACTGCTGCCGCTGCTGCTCGTCGCTGAGCTTCAGAGCCCCCTCGGCCGAGTCCGAGGGTTCAGGAGAGGCTTTCCTCTTGCGCATCGCCCCGCCACCGCCGCCGCCGCCGCCACCGCCAGGTCCCCTAGAGGCGGCAGCCGTGCCCTGCGCCCCGCCGGCCCCGGCCCCCGGCCGCGGGAGACTCACCAGCGCCGTGGGCAGCATGGGGCAGCTGGCGTCCAGGTAGGGCTGCGGCAGCATGTCGGCGCCCACCAACTCCTTGAAGAAGCGCACAGACTCGGGCAGCAGGTCTCCCAGGAGCCGCCAGTCGCCAGAGCCGTGCTTCTTCTCGTACTCCAGGTACTTGAAGCCCGAGGAGAGGCCGCGGCCGAAGTCCTTCATACAGTCCTGATACATCTGCTTGGCCACGCCGGAGGCGCTGGAGAAGACGGTGCCCGAGCCGCTAGGGTACTCGATGAAGAGCTTCAGCTCATAGTCCATGCCCGGCTTGGAGACGGCGTCGAAGGCAAAGACGCGGCCCAGCAGGGCGTGATCCTTCTTGAAGCGCACCTCGTAGGGGGTGCAGCCGGCCAGAGTGAGCAGCGTGTCCCTCACGATCTTGGGCTTGCTGGCCCACTCCTCTGCCCGATTCCGCAAACTCTCGCTGAGCTCGGCCAGCGCCTCTGCGTTGCGCTGCTTCTCCTTCAGCTCCCGCTCTTGGTCACTGCTGGATACCGAGCCCGGCCGCTTGCCGCAGGCCTCGGAGGACGAGCCGCCGCCACCCCCGGCACCACCGCCGCAGGTGCCCCCTTGGGAAGAGGCGGAGGGAGCGGGGGGACCCCCGCCGCCGCGGCCACTCAGGCCCCCGTGCGGTGGAGGCAGCGCCACGCCGGAGGCAGCGGGGCCGTTCAGCAGCGTCTGCGGCAGCAGGTTGGGGGGCACATTCATCTGAGCGCCGGCGGCCCCCGGGGGCAGGCCAGACACGAGCCCCCCGTGCGCGCCGCGACGAGAGGAGGAAGAGGAGGAGGAGGAGTTGGGGCTTTGCCGGTTCAGCTCCGGTGGCCCGTCCTCAGGCTGCTTGGGGAAGCCATTGGGCCCCCCCAGTCCGTTGGGCAGGCGGGCGCCATGGCTGCTGCCCAGGCTGCCCGGCGGCGGGGGGTACTCGAAGCGGCTGCGCTGCTCCGCCGCGGCGGCGCTGAGCCCGTAGCGGTCCAGGCTGGACTGGGTCAGCCCCGCTGAGGCCGCCTTGGAGGTGGCATCCACATGGTTGAGCTGCTGCTGGGCCGCCGCCGCCGCCGCTTCTTTGGCGGAGAGCGTCACTGCCTTTACGCCGACCGGCGGCGGGGGGCCCGGGGAGCGACCGTCCTGGAAGCAGCCGTGCGCCCGCTTCAACTGCCGGGCCGTCTCGATCACGAACTCGATGCGGTCGGCGCCCTCATAATTAACGCAGCCCCGGCAGACGGGCTCCGTGAAGTCCCAGATCATAGCCCAGGGCATGCGGGGCAGATCGCATAGGTAGCATGACTGCCTCCGCGACGAGGACACCTGCGCGGCGGACATGGTGCTGCTGGCTGGGGAGCTGCTGCCGCTGCCGCCGGGGTAGGGGCTGGCTCAGTCTTCCCCCCCGGGTTGCAGGGGGGGGGTGGGTGGCTCTCCGTACCTGATCCTGTTGCCCGTTTCAGCAAGGGGGATAGTCTGCTTTTAGTTCGCTCCTGCTGCCGGAGATGGCTTCCTCTACCTGGTCCTGCCGCTGCTGCCCCGGTGGGGTGGGAAACGATTCCACTGCTCCTCCGGGGGGCTGGGTGGGTGGGGGTCGCTTTCTAGCCGCTTCTGTTTCCCTGCGCTCTCTAGCTCTCCGCTTGCTGCTGCTCCTCCTCCGGGAGGAGGCGGAGGTGCACGGAGGAAGATGGGGGGGGTCACCTTCCACCCGCCATGGCTGCCTCGTGAGCTTGCAGTTCGGTACGTGCTGATCCACCGCCGTGAGCAAGACAGGGGCACCCGCACGGAGCTGCTCGGTCCCGGCAGCGGCGGCTTCCCTGAGCGCTGGCGGAGCTGTGGCAGTCCGGGAGCAGCAGCGGCGGCGGCAGCAGCGTGGCGAGCGGCGCCGCCTGCTCCTCACTCACATCCTCGCCGCTACTCGCAGTCCGAGCGCGGGGTGCTGCGCGCCGCCGCGTGTGGCTGCGCGCCCCCTCCGCCGCGCCGCGCTCCCCCCGCGCCGCGACGCCCCTCCCCTTCTCCGCGCCGTGCTCCCGGCTCGGCTGCACCCGGGCGGGGCCCCGCGTCACCGCCGAGCGCCCGCGCCCCGCTCCCCCCCCCCCGGCCGCCGGCGCGGAGCCCACTTGTTGCGCGGGGCGCGCATGCCCGGCGCGCTGCCCGCGCCCTCCCCGGCGCGGCCGCAGCTGGAGCGCGGCGGGGCGCGGGCAGCCTGCGCTGCCGGCTATGTTTGGAAACTTGAACGCCAGATCGCGCCCTCACCCTCCTCCCCGGCCGCACTGCTGGCCCCCCGCCGCGGCACCGCGGCCAGGGCGCGCATGCACAGTCGTGGTGGTGGGTGGCGGCGGGGTTTTTTTGTTTTGTTTTTTGTTGGGGTTTTTTTTGGGGGGGGGGGGGTTTGGTTTTTTTTTTTTTTTTTTCCCCCTGACTGCGCTTTCTAAGTTCAGATGTCTCGCTTTCGGAATTTTGTAAACCCGCGGTTCGCCCCGCTTTGCTTTCGTGACGGCTGCGCGGCTTTCTGCCACCGCGACTGTCGGTGGGATTCCCGTGCGCTCCGGTTGCTGAGGCAAATGGGGGATCCCGCCTTAATATCCGATTTCGTGTTTCTCTTTCAGTGATCCCAGTGACAGAATGACACAGTTTTTGTAAGCCTGTGACTGCATCAGAAGCTCTTCCACTTTTGATTTGTTTAAACCAGCCATGTTTGCCAAGTGTTTAAGGTTGGGCTGGGAAAGATAGTGCTGTGCATTGCTCAAGGGTGTAGGAGAGGCCAGGCAGGTGAGTAATCGCTGTGATCTCATCTCGCTAATGCAAAGGGACATAGGATTTCCCCGGCATTGTGAGAACACCCGGTTTTTTTGTTGTTTTTTTTTTTTTTTTTCCTTCTATTTCCCCCTTTAAATAGCTAGCTAACATTTGCATAACACTGTTAAACAGGCAAATTACTTAAAACAACCTCGGTTCATGCAAATAAGCCAAGAATTCATTTCACTGGGAGGAAAACAAAATAAATCCCCCCGAAGCTTTCCTTCTCCCGCCCGCGATCCCCGAAGCTGCCCGCTCCCCGCCCGGCCCCGCGGCCACGCCGGTGCCCGTGCTGGCCAGGAAGGGCTCTGCACAACCCGCTTTTGCTCTCGTTGCAGTCGGCAGCTATTTTTGCAAACATCGACATCGCTGCCTGCGTCCAAAGAATAATAAACTGTCACTGCGGGGACGCGGTTCGGCCGGGACCCGGCGCGGGCGGCCACCGGCATCGCGTCACTGGCGCGCAGCCGGGCGCACGGTGCCCGCGGAGACAGCGCGCAGCGGGGGAGGGCGGAGGGCGGCGGGGGGGGAAGCAGTCGCACGCTCGGCGAACGCGGAACCTCTCCCAGCTGGGCTGTGTTGGGTGGATTTCTTTCTTTCAGTACCTCTTCCTGATTCCTTTGTTGCTACAAACGCCGAAACCCCCGTCCATTGCAGGTTTCCCCTCTGTGTTGTAAAAGGACTTAGTGTTTCCATGGCGGGGTGCCACGGCTCCCTTACACCGGCACGCTCAGCAGCCATGCAGCACCGACGGGGAAAGATACCTTCTATTCGATTAATAACGTTTTGGAACTCACATGACAAAAAAAACCCTTCCTTTAAATATTTCATTTCATATCACCAATATGTGTAATTTCCATTTTTAGTTGTCTAAAGCATTTTATATGTGTCTGGTTCTAGTCTATAAAGCTGGCAAATGAGTTTGATTATATGTGTGTGGAATTATTTTATAGGGAAGGCTTAATGAAATGCACACATTGAAGTTACAGAAATGGTAGAACCAGATAAAATACAGTTAGAAAATCAATTGTGACAAAGTGACTCTTTTTCAGGGGGAGCTTGTAGAAGCAGTAAGTAGAGACAGAAAAGTCTTTGAATTATGTGAGTCTCCTGTACGCAAATTGGCTGAAGAAGATGCGCTAAAGGGGAGTGGATTTCACACTTTAAAATTTCACACCTAAACTGTGGACATTACAAAAGCTGCACAGAAGTACGGCAGATGAAAGCTGGTCAAAGTAAAAGTCTTTGCTTCCAGCCACAGTGATTTAGGGATGGCTGCAGGATTTCTACATTAATATGTCTTTACTTCACTAAATAAGCATGTGTTCCCTCTGATTCATATTGGAATGTCAGCTCCTTTCCCATCCTTTTACTGCCTCACGTTGATCTTCATATGAGGAGCAGAACTGGGCTGTGGTAAAAGGTCAGCCTCTGCTTTAAAAACTCGGGCTGAGAGACCTGAAGCTTTCCCTTCGTCCCGCATGTCTAAGAATGCAGAACTGCAACATATCCTGACTGTATTTCAGTCCCCGAGTTACACAAATCCAACATATGACAAAGCACTCCATGTGCTTGAACCCTGGATCCTCGATCCACTGAATCCTCCTGCAAGAAAGCCCTTTTTTGGTAAACTCACCTCACAGGAACAGACTTCTTGGCTCTCAAGAGCAATCTTTATAGTGGGTGTAAATAATAATCACCTTAGATATAATCTAGCCTTAGAAAACCATTTACAGGTGCTGTCAACTCCCTTTATAGTTTGTGAGTAGAAAAAGAGAGAGATTAGCATCTGTGACCCGACCAAACTGCCTTTACTCTTACTTGCAGGATACACAGTTGCGGAAATATGTTTGTCTTTCCGTAATGATTAAACTTTGATTTAAACTTTGGTCATGGGCACGTACTGTACCATTACGCAAGCAGCACTTAAGGATGAAGTGTCAGCATAGCAACAATATGGCCAGCAGCAGCAGTGATCTCTGCAAAGCTGATTGATGAACAGAACTGCAATGTAAATGCAAATAAATGCCACGCTGTGGCACCTTCACAGGGAACGACTTGTCAGTATCAATCTAATCTGCGTAGGGAAAATAGATTGAACGGTAGCAATGTAACAAGCTTCCCCTCTATGGCAGCACTGTCCTTGCGAGGGTAGCAGCAAGCTTTCCCGCTCACCTTCTGCCTTTTCTCTTTGCCATGCAAGTGACGGGACGGGAGCAATCCAGATTAGTTTTGCTGGATTTATACTAAACATGCCTGGTGTTTATTTAGCTCTGAAATAATCCAGGAATTAATATTACTTTTGGAGGAAGCAAAGAGGAAGCTCAAACAATAAATCCATTCAGGTGTGTCTAATCTGACTAACTGAAAGAAAGAAGCGAGCAAACAAAAAATAGTGTAAGAACCCCCCAAACAGTAGATTGTTTAGGGAGATGAAGGGGAGTGCAAGGAGGAATGGACCTGCGGCTGAAAACAATTGCTACCCAGCTACTGTTTTCTGTGCAGGAACACAAGTCAGCACTGTGGATGTGGCATCAGGGATTCTGCAGAGATTGCCCAAAGTTTATCACCTGCCAGTAGTCCCAAGGGACAAGGACTATAATTTTCACAATCAGAAGTGAAATCTACTAATTCCTTCCTTTCAGTTCTAGGATAAATACTGCCATCTGATTATCCATTTCCCTTTATTCCTATTACCATCTTTATTTGAAAGTACACACATGCACATATGGGTCTGTGTAACAATAAAGCAGCACATGAAGCATCGATTTAAATGAAGGAATCAAAATGATCCTACAAAATACAGTGTGCAGGAGCTGGCCACTACTTTTCCTAGAGCCACCAGCAGGTATGGAAAGCAGAGGGTGCAACACACCATGAAGGACAAAGCGACAAAACCAGGTGGCCTGGCTGCACCCCAGGCACTACTCCGTGCCACTCCCAGACATGAGCTCCCAAAACAGGGCGGTTACTGTAGATCTGGATGAGAGAGGAGTACTGTGGATTATCGATCAGCTGTGCATTGTTAATTATGCAGAATATAGGACAGCCCCAAAGTTTGCAAGCGATAATAATTAGGAGTCCATGATCTCAGCAGCTTGGGAATGAACAGTCTGGTCTGGCTCTAAATGCTCACAGCCTGGGAATATGTTTAACTCTTTCCTGTTAGCTTTACAAAGTTTTGGCACTGATCACTGCAGCCGTCAGAGCAGCTAGCTCTTCTGCAGGCACTCACTTACAGAAATGGCTCTTTCTTTACTGATCCAAACAGCAGCTACAGCTGGAAAAAATACAAGTACGAGAAGGGTAGTGCACTCCAGAAAGTGTAATTTACATGGATTTACCTCAGAATAGCAAATAAAATCCGTCACAATCAAATGACTGGCTTCAAAACAATGCAGAGATTAGCAGTGAACAGAGCACTTGGTGGTAAAGAGAGTGTGTTCAGCAAATCAAAACACAAACACTTCAGGAAGAAGTTGCATAATTTTGTCAAATTAAAAGTTAAACAACATTGTCTTCTACTAGAAGCTGCCAGGAAGTGTCAAAACACTCAGATACAAAGAATAGGAGTAGTTACATGTTTCTGTTTATCATTTCAGTTCTCATCTCATTATAATTCTGGTTTTTTTCCTACCATTTTTCAGGTAGCGAGCCTTGCTGACATTGAGAGTTTATTGCATTCCCACCTAGGAACTCTTAAGACACATTTCATCATGGACGTTGCCTCTCGTTTCCTCTGCTTTTCCCGGTCCCATTTCCACATCGGCGCTGGAGCGCGGAGCCGAGAGCACAGCGGGCGGGGGCTGCCCTGCCCGCAGCCGGGCCGCCGCCCCCGCGTGCAGCCGCGGCGGCTCTCCGAGCCCCCGGCACAGCCTCTCGCTTCTGTCCCGGCAAGCACTGAGGGGGGGCCCTCTTTGAGACCCACCCCACACGGGTTTTCCTACAGCTGTCTTTAAGGCTTGAAAACCTGCCTGAGAGCCTAGATTTCCACACATTAACCTTTGCCAAATCTTACAGTGCAAAATAAGACACCTGTAATTAATTCTGCTCACTCTGCAAGGGACTAGCGACTGGGCAGCGTGTTTTAGGCTGGGATATGCAGAGCTGGGGCCTCCGCTGTTGTTATTTTTACTTTTTCCTGGACTGTTTTCATCTTACATCCTGTGGACGTAGTAAACAATCAACAACAATGAATCAACTGAATCGGTACATTTTTTAAGGCTATTCTCACTGAGAGCCACTTGCACTTTCGTGACAGTTAAGAATCTGCCAAA